GGAATGGAGATGGAACAAGCCACCTCAGGGCTCGGCAGGAGGAGGGCTGTGACCTTGGTGGGCATGGTGTGAATCATGAAGAGAAATTCCCAGGGAACACGCTCCCTGGGAGGAGGTGTGGGAGGACACAGGTCCGTGAGAAGCTCACAAAGGCATCCTTTTTTCCCCAAAAACCATATTCTGAGCGGTGGACACATCCCCACCAGCTCTGAGGGACAGCTGAGGTCACAGGTAAGCTCTCAGCCCTCCCTCTGCCAACAAGGCCTTTCTCGTGCAGCTCCCACAGCATCTCTCCTGGTCAGGCCCCATTGGTGGTACCAGACCTCGTTAGCTGAGCATCAGTCCAGCTCGGCGGGGGATCAGATACGGACGCGCTTGCTTGGCTCTGCAAAACCTTTGCCACGTGTTTCCTCGAACCTGATGCCGTCGGATGTTACTTTTCCCATGCATGAACGACTAATTTTATTAGCAAGAGCTTCCCCAATGGCCGTGTGAAGCCTTGCTGGGCAAGTTCAGGGGGCTTTAAAATAATGACAATGTAAAAAGTTTTCCTGCATTTTAATTGGTTGTGGTTTTTTTTTTTTAAAGTGACTTCTGTTTGGGGGCACTGAAATTAAATATTAAAACTCCAAGTAGACTAGACCTTTAGGTGGCCAAAACCCTTCTGAAAAATGAATTAATTTAGCTGCAAGATCAAAATTTGGATAAATAATGCCAAGTAGTAGACATCAAATGTAGACCCATCTGATGATAGATTATGGACACCCCACCAAAGCAAGACACACCTAGTTCACGTCTGCATGAAGGCTTTGGCCAAATCAGACTAAGCACTAGGGGTTGTACATGAATCCTCACAAAGCTACTCATCCTCACCGCAACCCCGCGGCGGGGCGATGCTTTTTCCTCTGCCATCCCTCAGACGATGTCCAGGGCACAGAAGGCTGAACTGGTACTAAGTGACCTGCACTGATCTCCATTAAGGCAGGAGGGTCCAAGCACCCGGTGAACACCAGCTCTGGTACTAAGTGACTCAGTCAAGGCCAGCCATGAAGTTTTGTGGCAGAGCAGACACACGACTGCAACTCCCCCAGGGTGCAGTAACCCTCCGTCCATATCTGTTCTCCTGCGACGGAGAGCTGGTCCACACCAGGGCACAGCTCCTCAAGGGGCAGGAGTGCCTCGGCACCGTGCCCACCTCGAGGTGGTCTTTTTCAGCAGCTCAGCTGCAAGCAGATGCCTGAGCAGCCCTCACCCACCGGCCTTCCGCAGTTACACTAATGGTCATACGCCAAGTCCTCTAACGATCATCCCAGTCACAGTAAGAGATAATTTCCATCCCTTCATCAAAATTCAACATTCAACCTTGTGAGGTCCTTTGAGACTCTGCTAATAAATTAATTCACAGAAGTACCCCTTGGAGTCATGGGCCAGAGCCTTGGCTGGAATAAATCGGCACTGGTGAAGGTGGGGGATAGCACAAGTGCTGGAGGCAGCATCAACAGGACAATGTGACCTCTCTGACCAGCTTCAGAAGTGCTGTAGGAGAGCTCGCTGGAGCCAGGCCAGCCCAACCCAAAACGTGCAGGCAAACGGGAGAATTCCCCTGCCTGGCAATTCAGTAATTCATCCGCTTTGGTTTCTGCATCTCAGGGAACAATTTCCATGCTCAATGTTGAGCAGACATATGTTTGTTTGGGGTTTGGGTGCTCAGCACCTTTGAAACCAAATCCTTCAGCAGTCCAACCATGGTCCCACCAACCATGGTCCCACCAAGTGCTGCCAGCTGCACCTGGAGCCACGCTCACCCTTCCCTTGTGCCGATGCTTCATATGGCTGGGTGGGATGTCGCAATAAACCACACGTTTGTCTGTGAGGTGGCGAAGTAAATGCAAATCAAACCAAAGAGGCCCTCAGGGAAGAGGAGCAGAGCTCAGCTTCCAAGTTTATCTCCAAACCCTCAGATCCTTGACTCCATCCTCCAAAACACAGACTGACCCTGGCAAAAGCATCCGACACTGATGCTCCTCCTGCCAATTAACATCTGTCTTACTCAGAAAAGGTTTCAGCAAAAGAGCTTCAGAAGTGGTTTAGTGTTTTAAAACTCAGGCTCATGTTCAGGAAGGGTTTATAAGCCACGTACAACCTGCCCAAGTGTCCTGCTATGTATAACCAGTGTTGAAGGCAAACAACCCACTGGTGAAGGGGATACACCATATACTCAAGCTCTTTACTGAGCTGGGACCTCGCTGAGCAACTCAAAGCAAATCCATCTGGAAAGCTCAGGCTTCTTATCCCAGGGAACCACCAACGAGACTTTACACTTTTAAATAAATGAGTGAACATGAAGAACATGAATTAAGTACAAGCTAACACCGCAGGGCTGGACAGCGTATGAACGTGGGCTTAACTTGCATGTCCACCTCCTCGTTGACTGCTCAGAAAATGAATTTGGAAACTTATTGTGAAAATGGATTTTTTTTTCTATGTAAAAAGTTATTTTTGCTTGAAAAAAATATTTTTAATACAAAAAGTTGAGTGAATCTGTATCAGTCAGCTTTACTTAGCACTAACAAGTACGAGCAGGGGTGGGTGAAGCTGAGTGGAATCAAAATAAGTCTCAGAGCAGGACCATAAGCAGGACCATAAAAAAATGTCAACAGCAAAATATGGCACAAGTCAGGTGCTCTGCCGATAACGTTTTTCTAGGATATCACGAAGGGAAAAGTGGGGGAGAAAGAAACTGGGAACGCTGGGGAGAGGCACTGAAGGGGAGTGGGTTCCCTGTGGCTCTTCCCCATCCCACGGCAACCAGCTGAGCTGCTCCTTGCTGGCCAGGAGCGAGGAGGTAAAGCAGGTGGTTATTGGGACTGGCTGTGCCCTACACACCATCCTGATTCCTCCTTCTCCAGGGCACCTCACCTTCTCCAACCCATCAAACTTTGGCCACTGCCAAGAGGAAGCAGGTGGAGAAGATGGTGTCAATATATTTGTCTGGGTTTCAGAAAGAAAAGAGGGGGAAAGGATGGCTGCAACAGGCACAACCGACAGTAAAGTTATTTTTTTCCTCACCATTCAAGTCTTCTCCTGCCCTTCCTACCCAGACTACCAGCAAACAGTGCTGGCAACAGCCCGACAGCAATAGGTGGACATCGTGGGTTTAATGTCATTGGGAGCATTGGCACCGCACGGTCAACATGTGGGCAGAGAGATGTCCACCAGAAAATGCAAAATTACTTGGGAAAACATTGCGCGAGGCTCATCTCTCGTGATACACACTTCCCTTGGAAATTCAGGGGTTCAGTGACTGCCCTCCCCAGCCAAACAGCCCTTTGTGGCCAGCCTGCTCAGCTAGTGGCATCTCCAGGTCGTGCTAAGGCCATACAAGCAAAGAAATAGAGCCTTCGGTCTCCTCTGTTATTTCATCCTCAACATTGAGGCTAAAACCCAGGCACCAATCTTTTCATGCAGCTTGGCCTCAGCGCTGACTGGTGGCAAAGGGACCTGGAAGGCTTGTGCAGCCCAAGCCATGGCCCACGGAGCTCCTTTGGCAGGTGGAAAAGCCACCTTGTCTCGAACTAGACCTAAAGAAACATCTCCAGCACGTCAAAGGAGGTATCTGTCTGCTGGCGGGACAGCCAAGAAGCCAACTCCACCACTTCCCCAGCTGAAGAGGGCTGGCACGTGTCGCTGTGGTGGAGCAGGGCTGTTTGCCCCAGGACACACAGCACCTCTGGACCTTCAGGGTGTTCGTTTCCAACACCTCCGTGAAGGTCCGCAGACTCCATGGGAAGGATGCTCTCTCCTGCTTCTCTCCCCCTCCCACCTCGAGTTTTCCTGGCAGCACATTTTAAATTTGGATTTTCTCCTAAATACAGTTACGCAATCCTCCCTGCTCCGGCCAAGCTGTGGGCTGCCTCCAGGCTCCCTCCCCTTCCATGCCCAGCGCAGGAGATTTCCATCTTCTCGCTTTAGAAAGCACCATTAGGATCAGAGACAGAAAGTCATGGGTTGGGTCAGGATGCAACAAAATCAAAGGGTTTCTTTTCTATCCAACAGAAAGTCACGAGCAGATGCTATTCACCACCCCCCCCACCAGTGTTATTATCCGCCTCTCCTCTACGTGTTGGTCAAAGGACCTTTGGGACAAGCAGCCTTTATCCCGCCTGTGGATAAAAGGCCCTTCTGCATTTCTTCCTTACTCCATCTTCTGCCTACTTTGGCTCCCGCAGTGCCCGTG